CTCACCCTCACTATCACCCTCACTATCACCCTGTCACCCTCACTATCACCCTTCTCACCCGTCACTATCACCCGTCTCACCATCACAGCCACCCCCACCATCTCAAAACTCCCACTATCACCCTCTCACCCTCACTATCACCCTCACCTATCACCCTCTCACACTCACTATCACCCTCTCACCCTCACTATCACCCTCTCACACCCTCTCTATCACCCCCTCTAAGCACCACTATCTCACCCTCTTACAACCCTCACTAGCAACCCTCTCACCCTCTCACCCTCACTCTCACCCTCACTCTCACCCTCACTATCACCCCTCCTACCCATCACCCCACTATCACCCTCTCCAAACCCTCCCCTATCCACCCTCTCACACTCTTCCACCCTCACTATCCACCCTCTCACCTCCCGTATCACCACAAATTAAACCGTCCAGAAGAACGTCATGCAGAGCTGCCTTCCTTTGATTCTCTCTGAACTGCCTGGTCTTTTTAATGTTTAATGTCAACCATTAGTGCAGATAGCGTGAAGTAGAACAGATCGCAGATGCTAATGTAGCGTTAGCATTTCTCCCCCGGGCTTAAACGGTGTATTATAGAATGATCACACCGGTGACAGTACTCTTCAAAGGGTTCACGAAATATGACTACTACTCTTACTGTTTAACATGTTGGGTTACTTGATGTTACTTCATGTTAAGGCTCATAAAAATGACAAGGCTGTAATGCTAACTAACGTGCTAGCTACTAGCTAGGTAGCTAACTTGATCCAGCCACTCCTGGTCCTTTCATCAGACGGGAAGCGAAAGAATGAGCAAGACCCATTGCTGGAATGATAACAACCTGGTACTAAGCACACAGGCATCTTGTTAAAGTGATCTTATCTTAGCCAGCGCCATATAGATAGATTCTATCTATATGGCGCTGATCTTAGCTATCTCTCAGTGGAGGAAAACAATTGTGACATCACTTACGCGACTCTGGGATTTGTAGTCTTTCTAGTTGCGTATTTTTCATAGTCTTATATTTCAACAGTTTTACGACAAACTGTGACTTTTTTGACCTGGAAATGATTTTTTAAGATTGACAAACATCATATGTGTAATTCATAGCACAATTCAAACGGGATCGAAAGATACGTTTTCTCTCTCCATTGACTTCAATGCATTATTATTCAGAAATAAGGTCCCATGGACCGGAAGTATTATTGTAAGTCGCTTTGGATAAAAGCGTCAGCTAAATGCAATGTAATGTAATGTAAAAGTAGATGGGCGTGACTTTGCCACTCTATAAGCCAAGAAAAGCCGGCATAACATGGGACAGTAAAGTGGGAGGTGCTGAAGGGACTGCCGATGTCCGCACCGCTGTGCAGGAGACGTGGGGGGAAACTGTGCGCAAACAGCAGTAGATATTCATTTATTCAAAAAATGTAAAAGGGGGGAAAAAGGGCACTTTCTCTGGAGGAAGAAAAGGGGCAGGGGCTCAAGCCCACTTTGATGTCTATGTGTGCACGTGCCTGGTATTGAGTGTGTAAGTCGCTTTGGATAAAAGCGTCTAACAAGATATGTGATAAAATGTAAAATCACATGGAGGAATCCCATTGGCCCAGGGAGACGCTGCCTTCAGGGACCCACAGAGGAACAGGACATCCTGCAGGTGTTTTCAGGTGTGATCTCTCCACACCTGCCTGGGAGTGTTAACCTGTGAAGGTCCGTCACTAAGAACCGGTCAAACGGTAAACATGGAGGATCCGGTTCTCTGAACAAAGTCCCTCTCTTGAAGAAACTATCGGCCATTTATTTTATGAATGCGTGTGTTTTAGAATATTGTGGTGTGATGTAGAATCAAAATCAAATTTTGTACATTTCTATCAAGAATTGAAACAATATATTAGCACTATTAAAAACATTAGGAATAAGAAGGCAATCAAATCTAATTTGGTATTTAAAAAAATATTTAATCTGAAGTTTCAAAATGAATTTTTCTTTCCTTTTTTCTTTATTTACTGTATGTCATGTCTTGTTGGTTTGTATGTCTTATATGTGGACTTTGTTGAATGTAGAATGTATGATGTTGAATAGATGAATACAAAAAAAACAATACAAATTATAAAAGCAAAGACCCTCTCTGACCCCTCCCTCTGGCGACGGTGTAACTTCCTCGAGTGTTTTGGAATATATGAAATATCCTTACGTGGGACTATCTGACTACCTGAGTGTTTGAACCACACATTAACATCAGGTGTTTACCTGTCCTGCAGCCTGGCTCTCCAGCTGGGCCCGGAGCTCCTGCAGGTCGGCATCTCTGAGCGCCAGCGCCCCCTGCAGCTCTGAGGAGGAACAGCAGGAAACACAAGATATGCAGTTATTACGGGTCGAGTGGATGGGATGGAAACACAGAAAGAGGCTGAAGGAATACTTTATTTCCTCGGTTATTGGGTGGAAACGGAGCCAGTTAGAAGTCCAATGCTCTTTGTGTTACCATAAAGCAATGAGAGTACATATGGGCTGGGATGTTTCTGAAATGTTTTGGGAGCATAACAGAAACTCAACAGCTCAATAATAAGCAAAGAATAGAGAAAGAAAGAAAGAGCTCTTGATGAAAAGCTGTTATTTTAACACTCATTATATTTTCCTCCGTGAGTATGTACTCACCGCTAACGGCGGCGGCCTCCTGCTGTGCGGCGTTCAGCTCTGACATCACTTCCTGCAGATGCTGCTGCAGAGCGCGCTCAGTGTCCTAAACATACAACACACTTCCTGTTAGCTGCAGCTACACATATAAATGACTGACTTTTAGCATTAAGCTAACCCTAAAGCCTTTAATCCAAAGAGAGCCTCGTCTGTCACTTCTCCGCTATAGATCTGCAGGTTGCCATAATAATCTGGTCTGATGAACATAAAACATCCGAACACTTTTGATGGTAGTTTGTCATTTAAAAATGGTGACTCAGCCAGGATGTCTTGTTCTCTCCGACCAATCGGTGTCCTGCAGTGTTTTAACATCAACTCTTAGTATCGCTGGGAAAACTAAACGAGTGCCTGAGACCATCCACAACTTCTCCTAATGTGAATCCATAAAGAGAGTCAGGATAACCTCTGGGATCAGATTTGGACTATTCTAGTCTTATTCTTTGCAAATGCAATACTAGACTTCTACACCGCCTTAACAACAGGCTCAATGTCTCAATACCTGAAATATGAATTATTCTTTAAAGACATAAGAATGTTGTCTTATCTCTGATACGTTTGGTTCAGTGAGTTATCTGTGAGGTTTCTGATGCTACATGTGGTTGTTTCTTATAATGGAGAACCCTGAGAGAGTGGAGTGGTGTGTAGTGTTTAAGCCTCTCGTGTTTCAGCCTCTCGTGTTTCTGACCCGGGTTTGGGCTGCTTCCTGCTCGGCGGCGGCCATCTTTGCCTCCAGGCCGCGGCGGCACTCCTCGTCGGCGCGCAGAGCGTCGCTACACTCCGTTAGCTCGCGGCTGAGGTGCAGGCAGTCGCTCCGCAGACGGGCCAGATCGGCGTTCTGCCGGCTCTCTGCCTGGCTGCTCGCTTGGTTCAGAGCGTCGCGCAGGATCGAGTTCTCCTGTTGCAGCCGAGCCAGCTGAGCGTTCGGCCCGTTCTCCAGCTGCTCCTGCAGAACAACAACCTGTCAAGGTAAACACACCGTTAGCTCAACATGCTACAATACACTGTTACCTCAACAGGCTACAAATACACCGTTAGCTCAACATGCTACAAACACACCGTTAGCTCAACAGGCTACAAACACACCGATCTGTCCACGGTAAACAGAACGTTAGCTGATATTAGACACAGGATCAAGATCAAACTTGCCATTTGGTCCCGGTGTGGGACAAGAAAAGGATTTCTGAACAACTGAATTAGAACTGAATTACATCTGCTCAGAGAAACACAACCCGGGACTTGAGTCTGGACTTGGACCTGCACCCCAGGACTGGAAATATGATTCAATCATACCCTCAAGATGTTCTGGATTGACGTAGACTTTCCCTAAAGGACTTTTCCTGGGCTTGGCTTCTTGAAGACTTAACTTGATCAACCCTTAAGGACTTGAGGCGTTTCGTTAACAGGACTTAAGATTGAACCTAGCTGTCCCTCATGGACATCAAACCCTTGATGAGAAACTTGACCTTGCCCCTCAGGAACAGAGAGTCGGAGCGTACCTTCTGGTTCAGCGTCTCTGTGAGTTTCAGGTGCTCCTGCTCGCCGGCCTTCATGCTGACCCGCATGGCGTCCAGTTTCTGAGTCTGAGCACTCAGCTCCGCCTTCAGACGCGCATCCAGAGAGCCCATCTTGGATTTCTCTGCACCAAGTTCCTGAAGGAGGAAACCAAGAAGAACCGAGGTGAGTTCTGATGGAGAAACTACAAGGTAAGAAAATGGAGCTGCTGTGATGCAGACTCAATCTGATAATAAAGTGTTATCGAATCGAATCGTAAGAACACTGACTCATCAAGTTTACCAACCCATGTACCCATGTACCTCTACTACCACAACATTTAATCAGAAAACATTCATTTGGTTAATCTGAGCAACCTTTTAAAGAGCACCTTTACAGGAGGAAGATATTTTAAGGTGTCTTGTTAGTGTTCTGTGTTTGGTAGCGTTGTTGTGATATTGAGAAACTAACAGGACAGAATTATTAACTCTTTAGAGATCACATGACTCACCTTGCTGAGCTCTTTGAGGCGGGTCTTGGCGGCGGCGGAAACTTCCTGCTCAGCAGTCCGAAGCTTCTCCTTCTCCTCCAGCTGCTTCTTCAGGGTGGACAGAGGGTCTCCTTTCTGACAGGCCTGAGGGACGAACAGACGTTACTGTAACATGCTAGAAGACTAAAACCAGCTGTCAAGAACTTTCTGGAGGAGATGAGTCCTGAACCCTGACCTGAGTCAGCATTATGAGTCCTGAACCCTGACCTGAGTCAGCATTATGAGTCCTAACCCTGACCTGAGTCAGCATTATGAGTCCTGAACCCTGACCTGAGTCAGCATTATGAGTCCTGAACCCTGACCTGAGTCAGCATTATGAGTCCTGAACCCTGACCTGAGTCAGCATTATGAGTCCTGAACCCTGACCTGAGTCAGCATTATGAGTCCTGAACCCTGACCTGAGTCAGCATTATGAGTTCCTGAACCCTGACCTGAGTCAGCATTATGAGTCCTGAACCCTGACCTGAGGTCAGCATTATGAGTCCTGAACCCTGACCTGAGTCAGCATTATGAGTCCTGAACCCTGACCTGAGTCAGCATTATGAGTCCTGAACCCTGACATGAGTCAGCATTATGAGTCCTGAACCCTGACATGAGTCAGCATTATGAGTCCTGAACCCTGACCATGAGTCAGCATTATGAGTCCTGAACCCTGACCTGAGTCAGCATTATGAGTCCTGAACCCTGACCTGAGTCATCATTATGAGTCCTGAGCCCTGACCTGAGTCAGCATTATGAGTCCTGAACCCTGACCTGAGTCAGCACTATGAGTCCTGAAACCCTGACATGAGTCAGCATTATGAGTCCTGAACCCTGACCTGAGTCAGCATTATGAGTCCTAACCTGACCTGAGTCAGCATTAATAGTCTAACCTGACCTGAGTCAGCATTAATAGTCCTGAACCCTGACCTGAGTCAGCACTATGAGTCCTGAACCCTGACCTGAGTCAGCATTATGAGTCCTGAACCCTGACCTGAGTCAGCATTATGAGTCCCCTGAACCCTGACCTGAGTCAGCATTATGAGTCCTGAACCCTGACCTGAGTCAGCATTATGAGTCCTGAACCCTACTGAGTACAGCCTTATGAGCATGAACCCTGGACCTGCGTCCGCATATGAGTCCTGACCCTGACATGAGTCAGCATTATTGAGTCTGAACCCTGACATGAGTTCAGCATTTATGAGTCCCTGAACCCTGACTGAGTCAGGCATTTTATGAGTCCTGAACCCTGACCTGAGGTCCGCATTATGAGTCCTGAACTCTGACCTGCGTCAGCCTTATGAGTCCTGAACCCTGACCTGATTCATCATTATGAGTCCTGAACCCTGACCTGAGTCATTATTATGAGTCCTGATGCCCTGACCTGAGTCAAGCCTTATGATGAGTCCTGAACCCTGACATGAGTCAGCATTATGAGTCCTGAACCCTGACATGAGTCAGCACTATGAGTCCTGAACCCTGACCTGAGTCAGCATTATGAGTCCTGAACCCTGACCTGAGTCAGCATTATGAGTCCTGAACCCTGACCTGAGTCAGCATTATGAGTCCTGAACCCTGACATGAGTCAGCATTATGAGTCTGAACCCTGACATGAGTCAGCATTATGAGTCCTAAACCCTGACCTGAGTCAGCATTATGAGTCTGAACCCTGACCTGAGTCAGCATTATGAGTCTGAACCCTGACCTGAGTCAGCATTATGAGTCCTAAACCCTGACCTGAGTCAGCATTATGAGTCTGAACCCTGACCTGAGTCAGCATTATGAGTCCTGAACCCTGACATGAGTCAGCATTATGAGTCCTAAACCCTGACCTGAGTCAGCATTATGAGTCCTGAACCCTGACCTGAGTCAGCATTATGAGTCCTGAACCCTGACATGAGTCAGCATGATGAGTCCTGAACCCTGACCTGAGTCAGCATTATGAGTCCTGAACCCTGACATGAGTCAGCATTATGAGTCCTGACCCCTGACCTGAGTCAGCATTATGAGTCCTGAACCCTGACCTGAGTCAGCACTATGAGTCCTGAACCCTGACATGAGTCAGCATTATGAGTCCTGAACCCTGACATGAGTCAGCACTATGAGTCCTGAACCCTGACCTGAGTCAGCATTATGAGTCCTGAACCCTGACCTGAGTCAGCATTATGAGTCCTGAACCCTGACCTGAGTCAGCATGATGAGTCCTGAACCCTGACATGAGTCAGCATTATGAGTCTGAACCCTGACATGAGTCAGCATTATGAGTCCTAAACCCTGACCTGAGTCAGCATTATGAGTCTGAACCCTGACCTGAGTCAGCATTATGAGTCTGAACCCTGACCTGAGTCAGCATTATGAGTCCTAAACCCTGACCTGAGTCAGCATTATGAGTCTGAACCCTGACCTGAGTCAGCATTATGTGTCTGAACCCTGACATGAGTCAGCATTATGAGTCCTAAACCCTGACCTGAGTCAGCATTATGAGTCCTGAACCCTGACCTGAGTCAGCATTATGAGTCCTGAACCCTGACATGAGTCAGCATCATGAGTCCTGAACCCTGACCTGAGTCAGCATTATGAGTCCTGAACCCTGACATGAGTCAGCATTATGAGTCCTGAACCCTGACCTGAGTCAGCATTATGAGTCCTGAACCCTGACCTGAGTCAGCATTATGAGTCCTGAACCCTGACATGAGTCAGCATTATGAGTCCTGAACCCTGACCTGAGTCAGCATTATGAGTCCTGAACCCTGACATGAGTCAGCATTATGAGTCCTGAACCCTGACCTGAGTCAGCATTATGAGTCCTGAACCCTGACCTGAGTCAGCATTATGAGTCCTAAACCCTGACCTGAGTCAGCATTATGAGTCCTGAACCCTGAACCCTGACATGAGTCAGCATTATGAGTCCTGAACCCTGACATGAGTCAGCATTATGAGTCCTGAACCCTGACCTGAGTCAGCATTATGAGTCCTGAACCCTGACCTGAGTCAGCAGTATGAGTCCTGAACCCTGACCTGAGTCAGCACTCTGAGTCCTGAACCCTGACATGAGTCAGCATTATGAGTCCTGAACCCTGACATGAGTCAGCATTATGAGTCCTGAACCCTGACATGAGTCAGCATTATGAGTCAGCATTTCTTCACTTCACGTCCCCGGGTCTGGAGGTCAATGGTTTTCTTAATGTGAGTTTGGTTGTTATCCTGAAATAAGGTCTGTGGTTAACACAAGCTGAAGAGATGTTAACGTTTTACATAAAATACGTCAGTAAATACCCCACTGGGTTTAGCTTTTGACTTCAGAAATCATGAAGTGGTGTCAATATGTGGAGATTATCCTGCTGAACTAAATGTGTAAGAATCAGAAACATTAGTTTGACACAGAGATTATTTTCAGACATAACCCTAAATCACATGGAGGGCTCCCATTGGTCCAGGAGATGCTGCAGGACTCTGTTTTCTGCTAACATCTGCAGTGATGGTTCTAGCGGCTAACATTGAATCTGTTGTGTTTATGTACCAGCTGCCAGGAGTCGCCGGCCTTCTGGTTCAGGACCTCCATCAGTTTGCTGGTCTGGTCCTCGCTGAGCGTCCGGTTGGACACGGCGGACAGCAGCTCGCCGTACAGCAGCGAGGAGTCGGTCACTAACAGAGAAACAAGGACGAAACACAACCCGTCATTTAAATGTCTCCTATTATACTGTTTCAGTATATCACAGGTCTCAGATATATCCAGAGCCTGTCTCTGATTGGCTGAAACACCAAACAGATCATTGCAGCATTACCCATAATCCCCTCTGTTTCAGCCCTGTTTCCAAAGTGCTGATTCTCTGTCTGTTACTTTAGATGAAAATAAGGAGCCCCTCCCCACGCCCCTCTGAGAGACATTTGGTTACAAAGAACTCAATGGTGCTCTAGGAGGAGATTCAGGTGATAAGGGGGGGGGGGGGTTACCCTGGTTGGTTTTTTCCTGAAACGTTCAGAGTCTCTTTACACAGGGGGGACACATGTTTATGTATAAAAGACATGAAAAAGTGGATTTTGCATAATAGGCGACCTTTAACACTTCATCGTGTGATTCTACCGAAGTATATGATTGTGATATCTGATATACGTTCATCAGAAACCCTCATTATGACCCCTGTAGGAGCCATTTAGGCCTATTGTTATGTATGGTTAATGTTTATTACTATAGAGTGCTCAGGTCCAATGGCGTGACGCTACTGAGGCATTGGAAGTCTGCAAGGTGGAATGAAAACGTATTTTCGACGGCATGCGTCCGCACACCTGATAATGTTATAGTGGTTGGTTGGTTTATTTTACTATATCCAATTCAAAAGTATCTCTAGGTCGGTAATGGAGCGCCAAGAGACGTGTGGATTCAACCCTTAAAGGTCCCATGTCATGCTTTTCCGGTTATTACCCGTCCCCTTGTGTTATGTAGCTTTTTCTGCATGTGAACGGTCTGCAGAGTCACAAGCCCTCAAAGTGCACCCTGTAGGGAGTAAAACACAGAAAATACGTGTCTATGCTGCCCCAGAACGCCTCGTTGGACATTTTTCTTTTTCCATTTCTTTCTTCCTGAGCATAGTGACGTGACCATACCCAGGTCCAAATGGACCAATCCGTGGAGCTCCTCAAACACACACGCTCACTCAGCCTTATCTTTTCTCAGCCGCGGCTCCGCGGCTCCCTCAGCCTGAGACAGCGATACACCGCAAAACTCAGCCTGAACTCAGCCTGAGCACACACACACACACACACACACACACACACACACTCACAGCCAGCTCACACTGTCCGCTCCTCGAGCCTCACAGGGCGGAGCAGCGAGCCCCCCAACGTCCCGCCAACACGGCCCCCAGACCCCACGCAGCATTCTCATCTGTTTGTCATCACTGGTGTCATTTCCTGGTTGCTATCAAACACCATTGTAAAACATAATCACTGATGTTCAGCTGTAACGGTGGTGGACTCATCAGAACAGAGTGGGCGAGCTGACCAATCAGAGCACAGTGGGCTCACAGGGGGGGGGGGGGGGGGGAGGAGCTCCAACAAGCCGTTTAGGACACAGAGTGAATACACAAACTATACAGAGATGCTGTTTGAGAAACCAATGTGAGTTTGGAACATTGAACAATGTGAATCTATTCTAGTCGACCTCAACAATGGGATCATGATCAGTAGAAATGGCCATGACATGTGACCTTTAAGACTTATCTGTGACTACATGGCCTTCATAAAAGTACTGTATTGTACCGTATCGTACCACATCGTAGCTTATTGTATCGTATCGTGCCGTATGGTATTGTGTGTAATTGTATCGGTACGAAGTGATACGATATGTGGAATTATAAATCTCTACTTTTGACAAACGACCTCTACAACCGGACTCTTCTCACCTGGCTCCGGTTTGTTCTTGTTCTTCTTCTTGTTGCCCGCGGGGGCCTCTTTGGGTTCTTCAGGTTTAGCAGCAGCCGGCGGTTCTTTGGTGACTTTAGCGACGACGTTAACGGGAGAAACGTCGACCACCGGCGCCACCGCCATCATCAGAACTTCCTTAGCGGCAGTTTCCACCGCCACGACAACCGGCTCCACCTTGGCGGACTTCTTCTTCTTCTTCTCCTTTGGTGCGGCGGCTGGAGGAGCCTCGATGGTGGGGGCAACCACGATGGGTTCTGGTTCTGGTTCTGGTGTAGGTTCAGGCTCAGCGGCAGGTTCTGGTTCAGATTCTGGTTCGGTTGGAGCCACCTCAAAGTCAAAGTCAACTTTATTGTCAATCTTTCAGTTTGTGTGTACAGACAGAGAGATCGAAATACCCATAGTTTCTCACAATCCCGAATACAAAAATAAATATATAGAAACATATATATAAGAATATGTATAAAAATATGTATATACCTAAATGATGCCCTGTTACGAAACATCCCTGTTATTGTATAAAGTTCATGAACATTGTATAAGATGCATCAGATGATCAGGAAAAAGAGAGGACAATGAGAAGGTGAGGTTTCGGTCCGGCAGGGGCTCAGTCAGTAGGGGCTTGGAACGGGAGCTGGAGGGTCGCCGGTTCAAGTCCCCGACCAGACCTAAAATATGGAGTGTGGACTGCTACTTGGAGAGGTCCCAGTTCACCTCCTGCCCTGCCGTGGTGCCCTTGAGCAAGGCAGCATGGTACTAGACTCCTGGTTCTAGACTCCAGGTTCTAGACTCCTGGTTCTAGACTTCTGGTACTAGACTCCTGGTTCTAGACTCCTGGTTCTAGACTCCTGGTACTAGACTCCTGGTTCTAGACTCCTGGTACTAGACTCCAGGTTCTAGACTCCTGGTACTAGACTCCTGGTACTAGACTCCTGGTTCTAGACTCCTGGAACTAGACTCCAGGTTCTAGACTCCTGGTACTAGACTCCTGGTACTAGACTCCTGGTTCTAGACTCCTGGTACTAGACTCCAGGTTCTAGACTCCTGGTACTAGACTCCTGGTACTAGACTCCAGGTTCTAGACTCCTGGTACTAGACTCCTGGTTCTAGACTCCTGGTTCTAGACTCCTGGTACTAGACTCCAGGTTCTAGACTCCTGGTACTAGACTCCTGGTTCTAGACTCCTGGTTCTAGACTCCTGGTACTAGACTCCTGGTTCTAGACTCCTGGTACTAGACTCCTGGTTCTAGACTCCTGGTACTAGACTCCAGGTTCTAGACTCCTGGTACTAGACTCCTGGTACTAGACTCCTGGTACTAGACTCCTGGTTCTAGACTCCTGGTACTAGACTCCAGGTTCTAGACTCCTGGTACTAGACTCCTGGTACTAGACTCCTGGTACTAGACTCCTGGTACTAGACTCCAGGTTCTAGACTCCTGGTACTAGACTCCTGGTACTAGACTCCTGGTACTAGACTCCAGGTTCTAGACTCCTGGTACTAGACTCCTGGTTCTAGACTCCTGGTTCTAGACTCCTGGTACTAGACTCCAGGTTCTAGACTCCTGGTACTAGACTCCTGGTTCTAGACTCCTGGTACTAGACTCCTGGTACTAGACTCCTGGTTCTAGACTCCTGGTTCTAGACTCCTGGTACTAGACTCCTGGTTCTAGACTCCTGGTACTAGACTCCTGGTTCTAGACTCCTGGTTCTAGACTCCTGGTTCTAGACTCCTGGTACTAGGATGGGTTAAAAGCAGAGGACACATGTCACTGTGTGCTGTGTGCTCTGCATTTGAGACCATTAACGAGGGTTTCATCCCTCCCAATTCTATTCTATCTATTCTATTCTATGTATAACGTTCCCTTATTGCAAAGGTTTACTCCCTGTAACCGCAAGTCTATTTCATTGCAAGTGGTGAAATGTTCTCAGCTGTCTTCTAAATAAAAATTGAAAACAAATGTATATCCTATATATACACAATTAACAGACACATTTATACATATGCACACATTAAGACCTAAATAAAAGCACCTCGTCGCCGGCGTCGCTCCCCGGTTCCTCCTCCAGCTTCTCATCCTTCCTCTTGGCCTTGTTCTTCTTCTCCTGGTTCTTGTCCTTCTTCTTCTTCTCTGCTCTGGTGGGCAGTGGTTCTTTGCGGCGCTGCTTGGCGAGCGCATCCTCGTACGACGTCTCCTTCATGGAGAGCGTCGACACCAGCGCGATGCCGACCGCCGAGATGAACATGAAGCCTCCGAAGACCATGAAGCCGAGTGTCTGCGGGTCGGAGACGTCCATGACGAGTCAGAGTTAGGAGCAGGAAGTCTGCAGGACGGCAAACATTTAGCCCACTTTAGTTTACTTGTTTATAGGGTCATGGACATGGGGCAGCTTTAGCCAACATTGCTAATTTCCTGCTGGTTTCCCCGGCCAGATGATAACAGACACCATTTTAAAATCACAATACATCCACAGCATTAGTTAGTTCTTAGCAGGGGACATCAGCAGGAGAGGACTCTTTAAAGTAGAGACACTACATACTGATATACACCTGAACATCAGCAGGAGAGGACTCTTTAAAGTAGAGACACTACATACTGATATACACCTGAACATCAGCAGGAGAGGACTCTTTAAAGTAGAGACACTACATACTGATATACACCTGAACATCAGCAGGAGAGGACTCTTTAAAGTAGAGACACTACATACTGATATACACCTGAACATCAGCAGGAGAGGACTCTTTAAAGTAGAGACACTACATATTGATATACACCTGAACATCAGCAGGGGAGGACTCTTTAAAGTAGAGACACTACATACTGATATACACCTGAACATCAGCAGGAGAGGACTCTTTAAAGTAGAGACACTACATACTGATATACACCTGAACATCAGCAGGAGAGGACTCTTTAAAATAAAGACACTACATACTGATATACACCTGAACATCAGCAGGAGAGGACTCTTTAAAGTAGAGACACTACATACTGATATACACCTGAACATCAGCAGGAGAGGACTCTTTAAAGTAGAGACACTACATACTGATATACACCTGAACATCAGCAGGAGAAGACTCTTTAAAGTAGAGACACTACATACTGATATACACCTGAACATCAGCAGGAGAGGACTCTTTAAAGTAGAGACACTACATACTGATATACACCTGAACATCAGCAGGAGAGGACTCTTTAAAGTAGAGACACTACATACTGATATACACCTGAACATCAGCAGGAGAAGACTCTTTAAAGTAGAGACACTACATACTGATATACACCTGAACATCAGCAGGAGAGGACTCTTTAAAGTAGAGACACTACATACTGATATACACCTGAACATCAGCAGGAGAGGACTCTTTAAAGCAGAGACACTACATACTGATATACACCTGAACATCAGCAGGAGAGGACTCTTTAAAGCAGAGACACTACATACTGATATACACCTGAACATCAGCAGGAGAGGACTCTTTAAAGTAGAGACACTACATACTGATATACACCTGAACATCAGCAGGAGAGGACTCTTTAAAGTAGAGACACTACATACTGATATACACCTGAACATCAGCAGGAGAGGACTCTTTAAAGTAGAGACACTACATACTGATATACACCTGAACATCAGCAGGAGAGGACTCTTTAAAGTAGAGACACTACATACTGATATACACCTGAACATCAGCAGGAGAGGACTCTTTAAAGTAGAGACACTACACACTGATATACACCTGAACATCAGCAGGAGAGGACTCTTTAAAGTAGAAACACTATATATTAATATACACCTGAACATCAGCAGGAGAGGACTCTTTAAAGTAGAGACACTACATACTGATATACACCTGGACATCAGCAGGAGAGGACTCTTTAAAGTAGAGACACTACATACTGATATACACCTGAACATCATCAGGAGAGGACTCTTTAAAGTAGAGACACTACATACTGATATACACCTGAACATCATCAGGAGAGGACTCTTTAAAGTAGAGACTCTACATACTGATATACACCTGAACATCAGCAGGAGAGGACTCTTTAAAGTAGAGACACTACATACTAATATACACCTGAACATCAGCAGGAGAGGACTCTTTAAAGTAGAGACACTATATACTGATATACACCTGAACATCAGCAGGAGAGGACTCTTTAAAGTAGAGACACTACATACTTATATACACCTGAACATCAGCAGGAGAGGACTCTTTAAAGTAGAGACACTACATACTGATATACACCTGAACATCAGCAGGAGAGGACTCTTTAAAGTAGAGACACTATATACTGATATACACCTGAACATCAGCAGGAGAGGACTCTTTAAAGTAGAGACACTACATACTGATATACACCTGAACATCAGCAGGAGTATATAGGTTCCATTTAACAGAAAATATAAATAAAGTACGTGAAGAAGAATTATACTGAAGTGCTAAATGTCCTTAAAAACGTTCTACCATGAAAATAAAACAGTAAAATGAACAATCAATGCGAAATCTCTCTTTTTACTCTTTAAGTACATTTTGTTCCGAGTTCTCCATCATCTCACTAAAGTCACATTTCAATACAGAACTTTTATATTTACTGCAGGGAAGCGTCCCAACATGTATTCACCACTGAGTGACTATTGATTTACAATAATCGACCAATCAATTAATGGTTTGCTCGATTCATTAATCAATTCAGCTCCAGTGAGTTGTTGTTTTTCTCCAGGGCCTCATATATACACATCGTGATGCAGTAAAACGCACAATACAAAGATAAATGGCATAAAAAGTACCTCAGATTAAACACAGTACTACATGTACTTTATTAAACTACTCTCCAGCATGATGATAACACTCTGACATGGACCGCTAACAGGACGTCTCTCTTTTTACGCTTTAAGTACATTTTGTTCCGAGTTCTCCCATCATCCCACTGAAGTCACATTATTAGTACATCATGTGAAGTCAATGAATCTGGTATTTAGTCCACTGAGAGAACTGATCTAAATCCAAAGAGGATGATAATACACTGGATACATCAAATATCATTTTACAGTTCAAACACAGAGAGGGTCTGAGAAAGAGCGACGTGTCCGAGTCCACAATTAACCCTTTGTACAGTGAACACACACACACACGCACACGCACACATACACACGCACGCACACACACATGCACATACGCACGCACGCACACATACAATAACACACGCACACACACACATGCACATACACACACGCACGCACGCACACACACATACAATAACACACGCACACACACATACACACGCACGCGTACAATAACACACGCGCACACACACACACACACACACACACACACACACACACACAGTTATGTAACTGTCTCCAGAACACCTCAGGTACAGAATTTCAAATTTAAACACCGTTAATAACCTGAAATAAACTTTTGTATTTGTTCACACTCAGTTGAGTGTACGTCCTGCCCGCTGCCCTAGCACTGTGTTATATATGAATGTTATATGTTTGATATATTTATTGAAGTAGTTCCAGGCTGTTTAAAGAGATCACTGAGACACATCTCTACACCCTGCAGAAATCATTCAAACCTTATTTCCATTCCCTTTATCACTAACTGTCTCTTTGGTCAAATCAAGTTGTTTTTGTGCCTTTTTCTCTGAGTTTTCATCCAAATCCAGTTTTTCCCAAACTTTCTGACTTTGCAGCGTCAGACTTAAAGTGTTCAGTTTCAGAGTTTAGATGTGTTGCAGAGTTTAGATGTGTTGCAGAGTTTAGATGTGTTGCAGAGTTTAGATGTGTTGCAGAGAGCAGTCAGAGTTCAGTCTCAGGTTATGTTGTCTTATGAAAGACAGTTAAATAATTGATATGAGTAGAATAAAGGGTCTCACCTCAGGAGAGTCGGGATGCGGAGTCGTGGCACTTTCTGTGGACGGGAGCAGAAGCCCCGCCCCCCGCCGACAGCGCGGCTCCTCATTGGTCAGCAGCGACGTCGCATTTAGTCCAGCCCATTCACCTCATGGGAGATGTAGTTCACTTTAAACTACTAACTTTACACAAACCTTAACGTTTTTACTTTATCGTGTGTTGTTGTTGTTGTGTGTGTGTGTGTGTGTGTGTGTGTGTGTGTGTGTGTGTGTGTGTGTGTGTGTGTGTGTGTGTGTGTGTGTGTGTTTTATTTTTATGTAACCTTTATTTAACCAGATAAAAGCATTGAGATAAAATCTCATTTACAATGCTGACCTGGCCAAGAAGGCAGCAACGTTACACATTATTACACAGAACACAGACATATAAATACAGAACATATAACTAAGTAAACAAAAGAGGAGAAGCAGTGCTACTTATTACTGCAAGAGCAGCTGGAGGTAAGGACCTCAGACAACTTCAACTTAAAACATGCTATTGAGACAAGTGCCCTCAGTTTGAGGCGTGATTGAAGGTCGTTCCAAGACCAAGGACCATAATGAAAAAGACTCCCTTTTTCCAGCCTCAGTAGGAACCTGGTGTGTGCGTACGCGTGTGTGCGTGCGTGTGTGTGTTCACTGTACAAAGGGTTAATTGTGGACTCGGACACGTCGCTCTTTCTCAGACCCTCTCTGTGTTTGAACTGTAAAATGATATTTGATGTATCCAGTGTATTATCATCCTCTTTGGATTTAGATCAGTTCTCTCAGTGGACTAAATACCAGATTCATTGACTTCACATGATGTACTGATAATGTGACTTCAGTGGGATGATGGGAGAACTCGGAACAAAATGTACTTACGTTTTTTAATTTTTTTTATGTGTCATAGTATCACCTCAAAATACGAAACATTTTCAACTGTGCGACAAAATATAAATAGTCCTACAAATATCTTTATTTGATTACCTTCTTATTTTTGTCCAAGCTCAAGGGAGCCAGAGCAGAGGGCTTAAAGAGCCGCGGGTTGCCGACCCCTGTTCTAGACCGACCATTTTTTGGTGCTTGGTATGAACCGGTTTTCGGGGAAAGAGCCAACTCTGCTGCGGTGTGAACAGGAAGAACCGATGCTTATCATAAGGCTCTAGCTCCGAACCGGCGCTGGAACCGCGTTAGTGTGAAAGGGGCAAGAGACATGTCTTAAAGCAACAGTACAACAGGAGAGAGAGAGATGGAGAGACAGAGACCAGCTCCAACACAGTGGATCAAACGTTAATAAACAACAGAGGAGAAGTTACCGAGCCAATTTGAAGATAATGGTGATCAACGAAGCATCAAACAACTGTCGAGCGGCAAAGAAATGTGGAGTTACTGAGAGTAACGTGAGTAGATGGAGTTACTGAGAGTAACGTGAGTAGATGGAGTTACTGAGAGTAACGT